TATTATACAGATCACTTTCAACAATTGTTGAGATTTTTTTTTGTAACCAGACAGACCTATAATGTTATAGACTATTTTTTCGGTTTTGTAATTTTCAATTTAAACTGAAAAAAAACAGTTGGATACAGGCTTCATCACATAAATTATTTAATATTTCTGGTTTTACTTTGATAAGATTAAGTTCAAACTAAAAATATTTTAATCGGGAGATAAAATATGGCTTTCGACCTATACATTTTAAGATAATAATTAAATTTTTATTCACATAAATATCATAATTCAACCCCGCTCAACCTTTTTTCAAAATGTTAAAAATATAAGATAACTTTTCCCCCCAAAACGGAACAGATTAAGTTTTACAAATTAGCATAAGAAAGAGAAAATGACTCTCTATCTGTCAGTCTGTCTGTCTATTTATGTGACTCTGTGTGTGTTTGCACGCTTTAGCAATTCAATTGTTGCTGTCGTTGTTGTTACTTCCTTTATTCGCATAATTGCATTAATTGGGCAAAGAGAAAAAAGACTGCAGAGGCAGCAACAACAAAACACTTAACAAAAGCTCAAGGATACAAAGGACGACATAGACACCGGAGATGTAAACAGTAGAAAACGATTAGGGCAAGCGGAGGAGGAGGAGAAGAAGGACAAGACAGAAAGACAGACTTGCACTCACATCAGACGAATTGGAAAGCAGACGATGAAGAACAAATGAAAATAAAACTAAAATCGGTAAATGAAAATGAAATGAAATGAATTGACAGAACTTTTGCCAACAATCAAAAACAAAACAAAAATCAAAACCCAAAAAAAATATTTGCCATAGACAGAGAAACCTTACATCTGCCAAACTTTAAGGCGAATGATGAGAAAGCAATGACATGAACTCCAGATTTATAAACTTTCAAAATTAAATGACAAAATGTTGTAGGATTCACTTGTAGCTGCATATGTAAGGGGGGCAATTTGAATATATATGTGTGTGTGTGCGAGTGTGTGTTGCCTATTTGACTCAGATCCATCAAAAAAGTGTCAGAGGATTGAATGAAAGTGCCATAGGGTCTGTGCAGACATTGCACAAAAATAACAAAAACGAAAAAAACAGAAAATATAAAATCGAGCACACAATGGAAAGTATTGTGGCACAGATTCGTCATGGGGTTCGGGGTGACAGTATTTAAGTAGTGCAAATATTACAGTTTGATGTTTGGACTTATCAAACTACAAAATTTTGAGTTTTAAATAGGGGACTCTTACGAGTGGGTAACAATAAAATTTTGAATTATTTCTGTGTAATGGTACCAAAAACCAAAATCTCCGAGAAAAAATTTAAATCGGACAATATATAAAATATAAAGATATTATATAGAATAAATGTAAGAAACAAGTCAAAAAGTATCACTCGGTTTTGTCGACAGATGTATACCCTCAGCCAATGTTCGATTATTTAAATATATTTTGATTCGGTTATGATTATTCAAATTGTTGACCCTCTATGGTGTATGTTCCGAACGAATGGGCCAATATGGTCAATTTCGTATCGGACCTAAATAAATATTATACAAATATTGCGACGTGCCAGGTTTGGACATCATCGACTACCTGGTTCTCTTTATATGAGATATGTGACAATTTTTAGAAAATGAGAGTGAGGTCTGGCGAAGCTTAGTATCCAATTTTATGCGAAATCATAAAATCCGATAAATTCCATGTTTACAGCAAGTTTTACAAAATAGCTGACATGTCTCGCAAGTTATGGCAGATATAAGTACTTAAAATTTGTGGCCTCTTGTGGGTGAGGTACCAGAAAGGGATGACAGATATCTATCATCTTCACAACAGATCTTGTGTTAGCAAAAATGTTTGGATGTGTAAAATATGAAGACAACCGGATGCTTATATTTTAAATATTTTAGCCTTTTGTGGGGAAGCTACCATAAGATGTGCTCCGATCCCTACCTTCTTTGTAACAGATCTTGTGTTGTTGAAAATATTGAGATGTGCCTAGTCTGAATGGAATCGAATGTTAATTTCGCGTTTTATGACATTCATGGGATGTGTGAAATATGAAGAGAACCAGATGCTTATTTCGGATTTCATAATCGTTTTGGTTATTCAAAACTTCGACCCTTTGGGGGTAAGGTACCAGAAGAAATGGTCCGATCTCTACAATCTTTATAACAGATATTGTGTTGATGGAAATTTTGAAATGTCTGAATGGAATCAGATGTTAATTTCGCTTTTTATGAGTTTCCGGGTATTCAAAATTCTGACCCTTTTTGGGACAGTTACCAGAGGACCGACACATCCCATCTTCACAGCGGATCTTGCGTTAGTAAAAAATAATGGGATTTGTGAAATATGAAGAGAACCTGATGCTTATTTCGGATTTTATAAATGTTTTGGTTATTCAAAAATTTGACGTTTGTGGGGGAGGTACCAGAAGGAAAGATCCGATCTCTACCATTTTTATAAAAAATCCGGTGTTGATAGAAATGTGGAAATGTGCCAAGTTTGAATGCAATCGGATATTAATTTCGCGTTTTATGAGCTTCATCGATATTAACAATTTTGACCTTTTGTGGGAGAGGTACCAGAAGGCGTGGACCGATATATTCCATCTTATCAGCAGATCTTGTGTTAGTACAAATAATGAGATGTGCGAAATATGACGTGAGCCGGATGCTCATTTCGGATTTAATAATCGTTTTGGTTCTTTAAATCTTTGACCCTTTGTGGGGGAGGTAACAAAAAAAATGGTCCGATCTCTTCCATCTTTATAACAGATTTTGTCTTAATAGAAATATTGAGATGTACTAAGTCTTAATGAAATCGAACGTTAATTTCGGGTTATATGAGCGTTATTGATATTTAAAATGTTGACACTTGGTGGTGGAGGTACCATAAGGAGTAGACCGATATATTCCATCTTTACATCAGATCTTGTGTTAGTAGAAATAATGGGACGTGTGAAATGAAATGAAGTGTATCCGAAGCTTATTTCGGATTTTATGACCGTTTTGGTTATTCAAAGCTTTGACCTTTTGTGTGGAGGTACTAGAAGAAATTTTCTGATCTCTACCATCTGTATAAAACACCTTGTGTTAATGGAAATATTGAGATGTACCTAGTCTGAATGAAATTGGATATTAAATTGGCATTTTATGAGCTTTATGTATACTAAACATTTTGACCCTTTTGTGGGGCAGGTACCCGAAGAAGTGGATCATCTTCACATCAGACTTTGGGTTAATAAAATTATTGGGATGTGTGAAATTTGAAGACAATCGGACTCATAAATCACATTTTATAAGAGCTAAAATTATTCAAAATTTTGACCCTTTGTGGGAGAGGTACATGATGGAATGGACCGATATTGTCCATTTTCACACCGAACCTAGCACTGATGCAAATATTAGAATTTGCAAAGTTGGAACAAAATCGGATTATCCTTTCTCTTTCTGTGCAGTAAAATATATATATATATATTTTTTTTATTGAAAATGTCGACCTTTTTTTGGGGACTTACCAGAAGGAGCGAACCGATATTGCCCATCTCCGAACTCGATCTAAGTCTGATAATAATATTACTACGTATCAAGTTTTGACCAAATCGGATACTCCCTTCGAGAGTTATCGTGCGCACCAGTCAGGCAGACAGGCAGACGGACGGACGGACATTGCTAGATCGACTCCAAATGTCCTGAAACGGATTTGATCCTAAAACCGTTATTTAGACAAGGCACTTTTCACCTTATCAAATGATATGTACCCTCTCTAGCCATATGGCTGCAGATATAAAAACGATTATAAAATACAAAAAAAAAAACATCCGGTTCTTATTACTCTTTATGGGGGAGGTACCAGAAACGATGGGCTAATATCTATTTTCTCCACACCAGATCTTGCTTTGGAATATGTGAAGTTTATAGAGAATAGGATGTTTTTTTTCTCATTATGAAAGATATAATTATTCAAAATTTTGGCCCGTTGTTGGGGAGTACTCAGAAGGACTTGTCCGATGATATATTCTATCTTCATACGAGATCTAGGCATATTGGAATGTGTTGCTTGTGAAAATAAATGGATGCTAATTTCGATCAGATCTTGTGTTGATAGAAATATTGACATGTGTGAAATTTTAAATTTAATATTATCTCAAATTTTGACCCTTTTCTGGGTGAGGACCATTATGAAGTGAGCCGATATTGTTAATTTTAGCACCTTACATATCACGCAAATACCTAACATACAAATATAGGGATTTGCAAAGTTTGCACAAAATTGGATGATCCTTTGTTTTTCTATGAGGAAAATTATTTTCCTTGAAAATGTGTACCTTCTGTGTAGGAGGTATCAGAAGGAGTGGACCGATATTGATAGATTTAATTTTGATAATAATATTACAATGTTCCAAGTTTGGAGAACCTCGTATACGTCCTTTCCGAGTTATCGTGCACACCAGATCGACTACAAACGTCCTGAAACCGATTTGGTCCAAAGACCCCTTTAGCCTTAGCCCGTTATTTCAATGTGGTACGTTTGGGCTGTTTCATATAATCTATACGCTCTGTATCCATATGGCTGAGGGTATAATTTACATCTAACTGACTACGTCAGCGATAAGGTATATACCAAAACTGGACTTATGAAGCCCATTTAAATTTTGAAATTCTCAAATCCATACCGAAATTACATTTTTCATAAAGCACGACGAAATTTAGTAAAAAGTTTTAAGCATGAATGGAATATGGAATAAATTCATGCTAAAAACTTTTAAGTAAATTTCGTCGTGCTTTATGAAAAATGTGATTCCAGTAAGGATTTGAGAGTTTCAGAATTTAATGCTCCTATATTTTATGTTGAAGGAAAATATATGTAATTGACGGGCACTTTAAAAACTTTAAAAATTAACTTAGTAAAGCTTTACTAATAAAACTATTTTTATATAAATTTTTAAATATTGACATTAGTCAAACGTTATAATAGGTAAAAAGACTCACCTTCAAATCCCGTGATCTCTTCAGCTTGGTCCATAGATTAAGTTATTGTTTGTTCTATCTGAAAAATTGCAATAAATTGGGATTATTTGTTTGAGAACATTGCAATGTGTAGAATGGTTTCAAAATATGTCCTCCATGCAAATTCACAATTTCAGGGGTTTAGCCGTCATTGGTAGTCGTTTTCGCTCAAATTGCCAGCAAATTGCCTTTCTCCCGTCTGGTTACATTCAAAATTATATCTTGAGATCCGAATGTCAATGATCCGAAGTTCTAATTTTTGGTGTAAGCTTTTGAATTGATGGGTTTGTTGGGCCAAGATATGCTTCGAGGAATTGATGGGTTTGTTGGGCCAAGATGTGCTTCAAATTTTTAAATTTATATAATTTGTTTTTTATTTTTTTTCTCCTCACATATGGAATAATATTTTTGTTTCAATTTCCAGAGCCTATTTCGATTTAAATTTTTTCTCGGTGACACTTGATATTACCAAATTTAGACCAATACAAAAGTAATTACAGGAAAGCTCAACAGATTATGAATATTGAGCCAAAAATAGAAGACTCGTGAAACGGTGTTTTAGAAGTTTACAGCGTAAAGCGAAAGTTCACCCCTCTTCACACATTTTTTGAAATTTTCGAGTCCTTAGAATCCTTGCAATGTAGGCATATGGTGTCTTCGGCAATATTGCAAACAAAAAACACTAGAATTATTTTTGAAGAGAACTTTAACCCTCAAGGTCTGTCTTTGGTCATTTTTTGTTAAATGGTGAAATTCTTAAAACGGAGTTATAGCAAGGCAAAATATTCTATGATATTATTTGCCAAAAAAATCGACTGTACGTCCTATAACTCGTTAAAAGCATAAATCTTACCTAAACGTAAGAAATTCACATTTTAAGTTTAAAATCGTACTTTATGTGAGTTTATGGAAAAATCTCCTACAAAGCATCATTTAAGAAGGATGACGTCAGAGACAAATATATTCCTCAGCACATGTCACTAGAAGTCACCAAAGAAAAGAATTTTTCATTTCTACTCTGTACCGAAAATATTTCTTAAGCTTTTTGATAAATTTTTCCTCGGACCTTTTTCGAGTTGAATCCTGAAAGTAACATAAGTAGTTTATAGATCGAAGCCCCCAAAGCAAGTTCGGGTCTTTAGGCCAAACGTTGTTAAGGCCCTTATATAGTGTTGGCCATATACAAAGTGGCCAACATAGATTGATATATATTTCGCATCATTTAGGATAGAGCTATGAAATATGGTAGATATCTTTGGATTACATCCACAATCATTGGTACAGAAAATGTGTCATCATATGGGTTCACTTTTTGGAATAACGCCCATACAAAGGTAATTCCGATTTACATTTTTTATGTTTTGGAAACGTTTTACTTTAATTTTGCTATATTTGGAAATTTTCAATATAGGTTCACCTTTTGGCACAGCTTTTATGCGAGGGTCTTGGCCATAATTTCTAATCAAAATGACTGAAAGTTAGTATTTTAGTTTCTTCGTGGATAGAAAATCTTCCGACATAATATGTGATATAAAATATAATATAATGAACCCCAATATAAACGGATATTTTAAACCAGTAAGGAAATGTCAAAAGTCGGGCGAGGCCGACTATATGATACGTTACGTTATATGATATATGATACGTTATATAACAAGTAAAGCTTCCCAACAAACAAAATTTATATTGGGAAGTTATGCAAATCAGATCATACCGACTATGAACCTTATTTGAATTCGTAACGTGCGTGCGGCTTTAGAGTAGTTGTAATTTGAGAACTTTATCCAACTCTCAATTGATTTTCAACAAATTTGACGGAGGCTTTTGTACCTCTAGTACCAAATAACATTGCTGTGATAAACCGGGCCGAGTTTCACAAAATGGAAAAATTCTATACAATTTTTGGCTATATTACATATATAGTGAACATACATATTACATATATAGTGAACAATAACCGTAAAATCGGATGAGGATGTATATCGAAGGCATATCAAAATCTGAATCAATCTCGATAAAATTTGGCAAAGGTATTGTCGAGCTTTTTCTGATGTCCGGTATCAAATATCATTGTTGTGGAGTGCATATTACGAATGTGAGGGACTCCAAACCCCAAATCGGATGAAGCATATATATGGGAGCTATAGCCATATCTGAGCCGAGTTTCTCCAAATTTGATTTACTTGCTTCTAGACTGAATCCCGTCAGAATTGCCAAAATTCAGATAATTTGGACTGATAATGACCATTTGGTGCACATTTAACGTGAAATCGGTCGAAAATATATATGGGAGTTATAACCAAATCTGAACCGATCTTGATGAAATTCGGCAACAGCATTTCTGGGATGTATTTGATGTCTTGCGTATATATAAAAAGCTATAGCTATATCTGAACCGATTTTAACTAAATTTACAAGCAAGTACATCGCTTTTAGACTGAATTCAGTCGGGTGTGCCAAAATGCAGGTCATTTGGACTGATATTTGCCATTTGGTGCACAATTAACCCGAAAACGGTAGAAAATATATATGGAAGCTATATCTAAATTTGAACCAATTCTCACCAGTTTCAATAGGGTTCGTCCTTGAGCCAAATATTATTTAGAAAATTTAATCTCAATCGCATAATAAATGCGATCAGAATTTTGTTCACAAAAATATATGGACAGACGGGCGGACGGACTGATAAGCATAAGACAAATCAAATTTACAAAGACATAATATCCTTACCACTATGTGGTATAGGATATCAAGATCATAATATTGAAAATTATCTCGAAATTAAAAATCCTTTTGGAAAATATGGAAGAAGGGGTAAATTGCTCCCTCTATTACGGTTACTTTGCGCCGACAAACGTGCTTTCCGACAAACGTGCTTTCCTTTTTTTTTGGCTCTATTTTCATAATTTGCTGCCTTTTTTTATAATTATTGAAAAAGAAAATTAAATAAATAATTATTGAAAAAAAAAATAGAAGATTTTCCAAAAAAATCTTAGTTTTATTTAATTCTTTGGTTCTATTGGGTACAAAAAAGTTTTTTTGTCATAGAAGTTATTTTTAAAATAATTTCTGGGGAGAATATCCCAGACAAAAAAAAACAAGGGAACTGATGAGGATTGGTGGCTCTTTCCGAAACCTAGTTATTCCCTGCCTTAACCCTTGGAAAAATTTTACCATCGTTCTCCACTAATAAACAAACCTTGTTTTTATAAAAACAACAATAAAGGGATTAAGCCTGACCATTTTGCAATAACAAAATACTATGGTATACCAAACAAACAAGCCAACACTGTTTCAAAAAAATAAACTCATCTCTAATATAATTCTCCCGTTTTGATATAAATTTTTGCTAGCCGAATTGTATTTTGATTGCCCACAAAATTCTCCCGAAGTCACTGTTCCCTGCATTATGAAGAACAACAAGAAGACAGATCCCAACATATCTGTGATAAATAGGTATGTGCCATTATATCCCTACATATGCAAAGATATATAGATGCAACGAAACGAGAAAAAAATGACGAAAAAGAACAACGCCAAGAGATAAAAACAAAAACCGAAATAATGAAGAACAATGCGGTGTGGCCAATGTTTTCTAACATGTTTTGCTCACACTAAATACGGCAACAGCATCCGAAGCAGCAGCAGGAGCAGCTAAGTAAAAGTACATCAAACCAGCCATGCTAGGCGGCAAACAGCAGCTGCAGTGTTTGGGATACATGTAGCAGTGGTAACAACAGGAGACAACAAGAGCAACAACATGAAGAAGACGAGCAACATCAGCAAATTCTGGGTTTTTGGAGAAGCTATATGAATGGATGGATGGCTGACTGACTGACTGCTCAGATTGTTGGTTGGTTGGTTGGATGGTTGGTTGGCTCAATGGTTGCCTGCTGCATGGCTGGTTGAATGCATCATTCATGGCAAAAAGGCACTCACACACACACACTCTCTACAAGCAACAGCAACAAAGAGAGTATTGCTCCAGGACCTTTGCTAAGCAATTGCAAAACCCAAAACATCACGAAAATATTTACTGTCATACAAGAAAACATTTTATGCTCCAAGGAGTTGGTTGGAGTTTTTTCTCCTTCTTTTTGTTCTTCTCTCATTTTTTCATTTCATTCACAATTTCACATTTCTCCTTCTCGTCCCTCTTGGAACCTTTGAGATTAATTCAGGATATAGTCCAAGTATGCTGATAAGTGCATGAGTGGTAGGGAGCAGAACTAGGTAAATGCACAAGAACAACAACAACATCAAACAATGCAACCGACTGATTTCATTTAGTCCAGGGAAAACTTTAGTTGCACCAACTTCAGGGTTCGAATGGAATAGTTGACTGCAACTGAGATAGTAGAACAGACAGTTATGAGTGATCATATCATACCCTACAGTAAATTGTGAAAACAATGCCAGATAAAGAAAGGTGTTCATTTTGTTGTTGGTGTTTTGTGTTTTTGTTTGCCAAAGGTTAAGAGTGTTGTCTTTAGTTTGAGGTGTAAAAAGGAAAACAAAGAACAGGTTGTAATGCTCAGGTAATGAGGTCAGTTTTTAAAGAGTTGAAATCTTTTAAAGGAATTGACATGAGGGATTTTGTCAGCAGAATACATATTTTTAAAGACCTCTGACTATAAAAACATGTATCGAAAGGACCTGCAATGCCTAAGGAAGGAATGCTTTCCTTGGGATCGCTGACAACTACCAAATAATGAGATCAGATACCAACAAATCAATCTACTTAAGGCCGGATTACAAATAATAATAGATTCATGTGTAAGGTGGCTTTTTCCTATATTTTTTTATTTTAAATTTTATAGTATACTTTAGGGAGCTCCCGCAATACTATATGGATATCATAAATTTCCGTAAAATACGCCAGTATTTTATTTATTCTACACTTTTATATTGATTGCTTTCTTTTAAGATTATAAATTCTGGGAAGCGTCTAAAAGTATGCTATAAAAAATTAAAAAGATAAATGTAGAGAATGTCGTGTTACATATGACTTTAATATGATGTGTAATCTGGCCTTAACTCATTTATTTCCCAAGGACATGTATATCGGCATTTTGAATGTTGCATTGTACAGTTACCTAAATTAAGGGGGGGGGGAGGAATAGATTCTCTCCTTCAACATGTTTTTTTAATTTTCGGAATAGTATTCCCTGGAATTATTTCACATCAGATATATAGTGTCCTCGACAAAATTACTGAAAACAACAAGAAGATTAGAAGAAGATCTCTTTGGACCAAGCCCGTTTTAGGACATTTGGAGTCGATCTTGGGGTGTCCGCCCATCCGTCTGTATGTCTGGCTGGTAGACATGATAACTCTCGAAGGAATTATCCGCTTTGGTCGAAACTTAGTACATCGTATTAGTATTGTCAAACTAAGAACGAGTTCGGAGATGGGCA